CAGTCGGCTCAGCAGTCTCGTGCGCTGCGGGACCGGCTAGAAACGAACATCAAGACTAAAAAGAGCACCTATGACGTGATCGAACAGAAGATTTTTCCATAATCCCCTCGCAAGAAGCTTCCGATGCTGACGCGGGTCGAAAGGCTGATGCGCGCCGAGAACTGAAATGACCCTCGAAGTATAGTATAGCGCTCCATGTTGTCGTCCTCCTTATGCATGGCTATCACGTCGAAAACCCCCCGCCCGATATTCTCAATCAAACGCGGAGGCGTTTCGGGTGAGAGTTTTGTGGACGCCGCGGGAACAATCCAAACGTGCAAAAGTTCTTCATGCGCAGGCGCAGCATGCTCAGTTCTCTTAAGACATCGCCCCTGGGACCTGCAGAGTCGGGTGCTTCCAAGTGCCCAACCATTGCCTGTTCTTCACGGACGCACACTCCTGAGGACTGCTTCCACCTCAACTGCTTTCTAAGAGACCTTTCTGAACATAGACTTCAGCAAACCACCATGCGCCCCAACACGGCCAATGGCTGGCGCGCGCACGGTGACGCCGCGGTAATGGTCACTTGACAAAGCAACCTTGCCAGAGCGGGCTTCTTGTACGTAGCCTCCTCCACGCAATGCATTTATGGAGACGATCGCAACCAACGAACCTCAAACCTATTGACATTTTTGACTGCGTGGGTTCCTGCATCCCTGTTCCTCAGCAGCGGTGGCATCCACGCGCGCTGCAATAGTGGCCAGTACAGATCCGTGCCAGAGGCATTCGTTCGCGGCGGCCTTCCTACACCAAGCACTGGGCACAACCATACAGTGCATGGTGCACACATCATCGTACGAATGGCGGATGATAGCGTCTAGCGGAGTTGCGCTTTGCGCAATGGATGCCCAGAGGCGTTCCAATCGGCTGTGGGAAGTGGGTCTTAGGAGCCTGCGGGGACGTCTTCGCCGCCACCGTCGTTCAGAAGCTGAAGACTCCATACTCTTGGAGGATGATGCTGCGCAGGGTCGAGCCGTGACAAGCGTATCAACCCGATTGAGAACATTTGCTGGAGCGCGCTTGGTTTCATGTCATCGGCTTGTCAAAGGTGCAGGTGATGGGCTTGGCCTCTCAACCAGTCCCGCATCGTGAAGATAAGAGCCAAAAGGAAGTTGGCCCGACCTGGGGGGGTTGAAGGGTGCGCTTGCCAATTTGCGCAGCCACATGAAGGACACAATTGTGGAGGGGAGACGGATGCTGAGGGAAATCGAGACTCATCCAAAGGCGATGGAGGGCCACCTCAAAAGAGCCTTTGTTCGTTCCCTCGGTGAGTGAGCTCTTGAACAGCGCCGGGTATATAGCCATTGAACTGACTGTAAGGGTTGACCGACAAGCGCGTCGTGGCCCTTTCCTACTCGAGTCCGGACTCACCAAGGTTTGCGTGGGCGAAGGAACATGGAAAAGACTTGCCGGCCCCCGCATGCGCTGTCACGCTGGAAGAAGGATTTGACTTCGACCACCAGCCCTTCAGCGACTCTCAGTGCAGAATATTCTCCGGCCAATATTTACGAACTCTTTCTCATCTTTGCAGAAGTCGGTGATACCATATTGACATCATTAGTTCGAGAGCTTTTGCCGTCACAGTCAACAAGAAATCAACCCCATTGAAATTTGGAAGAGCAAAGTCAGGATGACCAAGCCTTCCAGCGCTCGATTGGCCCAACATCCAGAGGGACCAGCTGCCCAGTTTCAAGGTGGTTTGTGTTTGCGCATCACATCCTTGGTTGTTCGATTCAACCCCGAGTTCAACGCCCTGAACAGGACTGTTGTTGTGAGATCTTGCCCTATGTCGGCATTGACGGGTCCAATTGCACATCTCTTGAACGGGGAGAGATGATTTGGCAGCTATATTGTCATCGAGTATGAAACCACTGGAGAAGCATTGTTGCAAAGGTCAGGTGCTGAATGAGTTTGAGTATCATTGCGAAGTCGTCTCCGGTTGCAAGTTTTTGGGCATCGACTTGGCCGGGGAGAAGTTGGGGTTCGCTTCAATGTCAAATGATGAGCATCTCCTGACTTTGTTGGGCGCACGACAAGACATATTGATCATGTGTTGAGCTGTGATTTTGTTTTGCGGCGGACGCGAGGTCCGGCGCTTCACGAAGCGCTACCTCCAAGTAATACATCGCTTTCAGCACGGGCACGGGAGCCAGAATTTGCGGGCAGAAGCCGGTGTGGCCTCGCAGGATCACCAACCTGGGATGCATCAAGTTCAAGACGAGCGCGGTCAAGAAAGCTCACACCAAGATTCGGCGAGCCGAAGCGGACAACGATCATTTGAGCGCCCAGTCGCTCCCAAGACTCTGTCTTGAAAACATCTATGACACTTACGAGCTTCACTGGGGTGTGAGTCCACCAGTCAAAATGACCATCAACAAACCGGTCTTATTGCGTCGAAAGACTTCCAACCCCTCGCCCCCATCGACACCGACCCGTCCTTGCGCCGTGTTCTTGACCAGACCAAGGCGGGCTTATGCCTGCAATGACAGCAGCCCTTGTCTGCCTTCCGAATGTTTGGCTTCTGCTGAGCTTGCCCAGCATTGGGTCATTCGGATCATTCACATCTCTGATGAACTGCAACTTTGGTGGTCGAAAGACAGCTAGAGACATATACCTACCATGGCAGTAGGTGGAACCTCAGTGATGTCCTGAATATAACATCAATTTTTCCTCAAGGTCCTCGCCCATGGCTTCCTGCAACTTCTTGCGCCAATGTTAGAGCCCTTACTTTAACCAACCCTCCAGCGCTTTGTTCTCTAGGATGCTTCGGTCGTCTGCACGCAGCGCGCTTGAAGTGTCTGATTTCGGGGAGTTCAAATTAGCCTTAGGTTTTGGTTCCGCTTTCGGCTTCCAATCTGGCTGTCCTCATCGGGATCGCCAGGCTCAGGCCAACCTCCTTCTTCATCATCGTCCTCGAGGAACATGCTCACAGGCGTAACTGCTGGACTTGGTCTCTAATAAACCTGCCCAACTGCGGCAAACCAGCAATGGGCATGTTCGACAGGTTCTACGACTGCGACGAATTGCGCAGCTGAATGCGGCTTTCAATATAACAACAACTTGCGAATTGCGCCCTGGATCCGGCTCTGTCCCTAGTGGGCGAACTGCTTTGCTACCAATATGAACTTGGTCCGGGTCGTGCCAGTCCGCGCTCGTTTTAACCCCTGCGCATGCGTGATGACCCAAAGCCCCCTGTTGAACCAACCATAAGTGGCAGAGACACACCAGTCGTTTCACAACCTGGTCTCACCTCTGCGCGCGAGAATGCCAATGATCGAGCAGACGTTCACATATATGTCACATTTCACAATCCATTGCATACGGGTATGTAAACGCAATTGCTTGTGCTTCCTTGACTTTGTTGTTTTCCTTCTACAATTCTTGCGTGACCTGAGCCCCAGACCGTTAGGCATAATGGTCCGCCCAATACGTTGTGTCGTCATCTGTGTCGTCGGCTCGCAACCCAAAGGCCTCGCACGGCAATCAAAAACAATTTCGAAACAAATGTTTAAACGAAATGACTAATGAAATGCTAACAAAGAAACCAACAAAAAACGAAAAATGCTGCAGCCAAGAAAATGGGCTGATTGAACGTGTTTTGCACGAAGACAAGAACATCCTGCCTTGTTGGCCTTGTTTTCACAAACATCAACAACATGCAGTGAACATATGAGACAACACGCCTTCAACAGGGCTTCATTCTTCTCACTGCCTATGGACATGGCTGAGACGGCCTGCAGCCAGGCTTTTTGCAAGATGCGTCAACAACGACCAACAGCATCCAAACCCAAATGGCGAGATAACATGGCGTGTGCAAGATCGATTCGGAGCATCCAACGCTTCGCAGCTCATAATTAGAACCTGGCTTGCCGGAAAACCAAATAAATAGCCGGCGCTATGCTGCGTCCTAGTAGCTTGGTAGTACCGCGTAGCTACATGTACCTACAACTTACTAGCCGCAACGGGGGTGAAACCGTCGAACCTCATGAAGCTGAAGGTAGCCATCTTCATTGGAGTCAAACACCTCAAAGGCCTTGCTGTCCATGGTGTCCTTCACGTGGCTTGGCAACCGGGCTCACACACTGACACGCTGCCCCACACGCTCAACAATTAACTATATGTTATCAAGTGGCACCGCGTGCTTTTGCTGGGAATTCGGAGAGTGAGATACTGCATGTCGTTGGTCGAGCCTTGTGCCTCTGGTACAACAAGATCTGGGCGGAAGCCTGGACAAATCGTCAGCTACGAAGCTGTTGGATGATGAGAAAGTAAAGCAAACACGTATAAAGTTTGACCAGGCTTCGAGATTGGGAGCGTCTTCGAACGCATTTGTTATTGTAAGCATCTCGGTAAACCGTTCTACTCGTGCGCCCCCCAGGTGGTTGCTTGGGACTCCGGTGGCCTTGGCGCGCGTTTGTGAATGGTTGCCTTGCACACTTTTAGCCAAGAACAGAAGTTACGCGTAGCGCAGCTTTTAATGATCCAGAGCTGCTTTGGAGGGAAGTATGGGGAAGCGCACTTTTGCGCGCGACGACCTTTCTCAGATTGTTTTTATTCCTGTGCGTTGAGATCTGGCATCAAGCGTGATGCCAATCGCTGCGCTTGTGGACTTACATCTGGCCAAGTTACAACTGGCCAAGATGAGGGAGGGTTGACTACAACGACCATTATATTCGATTGCAGATATGCTTACTGAAGCAATAGATATCAAATAACCTTGCCTGAAATCTACCAAGCGTCCCGCTCCCCCACAGAGACACTCCGAATTGACCAGCATGTTGCCATGTTTTCCTTCCCCCAACGACAGACTCACGGAAACGCCATTTGGCCACACAGTGTGCGACAAACTAAATAGTAGATACAACAATGTAGTTAAGCACCGTGCGTGCGGCCAATCGTCCCGCTCCCCCCACGACGCGCCGAATTTACATAAGCTTGCTTTCATCCCCAAATAGCGCGGACTCACGCAACATCCTTTCTTCTGAAACATCGCGTTGCAGAGCAACATCATAGACGTCATTTGGCCATACGGTATGCTACAGACTGGTTACAACACTGCAACTACCAAGTTGCCATTTCTGCCTCAGTTGCATACTTTAGCAGCCTCCACCTCCGTTTACGTTTTAACGACAGTACTAATTACGCACTTTGGCAACTTCCACCTTCCTGTGCCATTTGCAACGGCTGTTGCACCGTTACACACTTCGGCCACGCAATTCGCATTTCGCCTCGCTTTTGAGCGCTCGACACGCACGATCTCCGCAGACGGTCACGTTCAAAAACGTAAAGAGCATAGATGTGTCAGGCACGCGCGACCAAACATATGGTCTACTCTATGACTCTAATTTGACATATGTTTACTGTTGCGTACTACCCGATGAGATGCAGGTACGCAATTGGCAGTTCTTGCGATGCGGACAATGATCAGAGTGTCATCTGCATATGACAACTCTTGGAAACTCATGCCTTGAAAAATTTTCCGATGGGTCGGATCGTTGCGCTGGCGCTACAAGCATCAACAAACATTGCATACATAATCAGGATGAATAGATATGGGCTTAAAGGGCAACCCTGACGAATAACGAATACCTGTACGCTGGCTTTGCCGCTCGCTTTCCTCACTTTCCTGCTGACCTTGGACGACTTTAAGCTTTAAACATTGGTTTCTCATACAGACTATGATGCAGTGAAGTATCGCATCGGGGGGCTTGCAGCCTTTTAAGTGATCGAAACATCTTTGCGTGATCAGCTTTGTTAAATGCTTTCTTCCCCTAAGAAAACAAAGAGCAAAGGATTGAATGGTTACTGAGCCTCTGGACGCACAAAAGAAGGGCTGTTGCAAATGTGAAAAAGAAAGAGAGTGAGAGAGAGAAAGTGACAAATACAGGGAGAGAGTCTGAGAGACAGTCGGGGCGGGCTTTAGGAAGAACTAAGATAAAAAAAAATCTGGTCTTTGGGCGTACTTGACACGTCGTGCGCACATGTGAAGCTGCAGCCTAGATCTTGTTCAATCTATGCCGTTGCGCTGGCAAGTGCGGTCTGTGCTGCTGAATGGATACATGACTACAAATGTAAGGACCAGCCGCCTCTTTCTGCTCCAGGGCTAGGGAAGACTTGTGAGGAATCAGGAGCATCACTAGAATTGAGTTGTCTTGGTATTCTAGGAATCTCGAACCTCTTCTGTGTCTTCAGGATGATCCGTGGGTTCGATTGTCGATGCCAGGTTTGCTGTTCCCCATGAGCATGCAGGCCTGACGGCAGGACATGCCTACACGCCACATTTGCGAGCAATTCGACACGAAACTGTCAATAGGCGTCGAATATGGTCCAATGGTGTCCTGGATCAACGTGCATTGCGTGGCTTCCAGACTTCCATCTACGTTCAGCGCGTTGCATAGCTCAAAGAGGTGCTATGAAAGGTGTGAATAAATATTGAGTTGTGCATAATAGGTGCAATCTTCGCTCTTTTTTTCCTCTGGTTTATTCTTACTTGTCCTCTTCATTTGTGCCTTTTGACTTGCCGAATAGAGGCTTGACGAAGCGAATCAGAAGACGTCTCCGAGATTGATGCGGACGAACATCGACTTGGAGACCGCTCATTGCAAAAAACAAAAAGACAATTTCTATACCTTGCTTCCTTTTGATTGTTTAAACGATGGCCTCCATCCTAGAAGCGATGTCTTGCAACTGGCTTGCTCTCAACCACCCAGTGTGGTGCAAATGTGGTGCAAATGACCTCTGAGCACGCGCAATGTTTGTGGAGGACCATGTTCGCGAGTGACTGTCGGGATCGCGCGGCGAAACCTTGAGCCTTGTCCGAAAAACCTTGTGCGTGACACGAGTCAGAACTCATTAGGACCAACAATAACAACAACCAAGATTGAAAGGGCCAGTATGCTAGTACGTTGGACTGGAGGCCATCGCTATTAGGTTGAAGGCTATCAGGTTGGAGGCCACCGCTATGGAGGCCATCGCTATTTGCTGATTACCCAAATTTACACTGGACAAATTTAGGTGAATGGTTTATTTTACTCAGGCAAATTTATCTCAAACATATCTAAATTGTAGAGTAAATCAGTTTAGGTAAAATGTAAACTGAGTTTGGTCATTTAGTAAGTTAATTTCGGTCATGTAGTAAATCTTTTTGACTATGATGTCATGTTATTTTTGCAATGTTTTTGTGAAAATTGACTTTTTCTAGAAAACAATCAGTGATCATTGTACGCTCATCCAAAAAAAGAGCATCACCACACCTGCGACCACACTTGCTTTTTACTTAAGATTCACCACTGCTTTTACTTGAGCCAACCCTCCCTTACTTGAGAACAGCAGCACCTTACTTGGGAACAGATTAGTTTACTTGATCCTTACCTGGGAAACCTATTTACCCGTTACCCTTTTGCACATGAGTTGTACCTGCGCTTTACATGAGTTTCTTGTGGGGGCTGATTACTTGTGAGGATGTTCTTTGCTTTACTTGAGATTGCTTGTAAGGGTTGGTTGTGTGGCTTTTTTTGTACATGTGCTGTACCTGAGTGTGCTTGTGAGGGTTTGTCACTTGTGAGGGTTTTGAGCTGCGAGGTGTAATTACTTGAGAATATGGCTGACATGCTACAAGAAGAAATTTGTACTTGAACCTGTTATCCAAATTTGTACTTGAGCTTTACTTGGGCCGTACTTGTGAAGGAATATGTTTAACACTGTTTGGTCTCTTGTCTTCACTATGGGTGGACAACTTGATGGCGGGAGTTGCTGCGATGCAGGTCCATTGGTTGAAATCATGCAGCACATGGCTTTCAACAATGCAAGCAATTTATCTCAGGTAGGTGCATGTCAGAAACCAAACACCCTCAGGTAATATCAAGTAAATGCATGGCCAGCAAGTAATCACCCTCAAACAGTCTCAAGCCAAGGATTGATACAAAAAGTTAGGGTACAAAGATGCATAGACCAGAACTAGGGCGCTGTTCAAAACAAATCCATGAACGCCACCCAGAGTGCTTTCATTTTACAAAGATGATTTCGCACACTCCTCATCGCCTTTACGTCTGCAATGTCAGGGCTTCAGCTACCAAGAGAGAACCTAATCTGGACATGTTTTAGTTATCCCTTTGTTTCTTCACAAGGCAAAAAAAACCTTTTGTGTCTTCTAGCTCAGGATAGTTGATGTTTGCGATTGTAGAATTTCTCATCCCAGGATGCGCGCAATGCTTTGGAGACCCTCGGGGTGTTCAACATCAAGGAGGTACAGTTGGTGAGGGCCAAGCACCATGTAGCCCAAGGTCCTCACGTGAGCGCGTTCTTGCATTTCCCTGACGCCACTTGCGGTCAAAAGAAAAAATAAAGACTTCAGTGTTTAGCTAAGAAAAGGTCTACTCAAGATTTGTTTGGATACAGACCCCCAGGACATGGAGGCAGCTGCAGCTGTTGGAGGGCTTGGCAGACAGAAACCGATACAGAAAAAGAGTGCAGGGTGGAGGAACCAGTGTGGCTGGAACAAGTTGCTGACATGGGTATGGAAAAAACTAGTGATTTAGAGTTTGATGACGAAGGAGCGGCCCATCAAACAAATCAGTAAGAATGTATTGGAATGATTGTTGGTAAGGTTTTTTTAATGAAGAAATTGATTTAAAGAACGAGTTTTGGTGAACTTTTGATGAACTTTTCACATGGTTTTGATGAACTTTCAAAAGTTTATGACGAGTTCATCAAAAGTGGATCAAAAACCAAACAGTTTTCATCAAAAACCAACAAAAATATCAACATTTTTATCAGATCTGCTTGAACTGCCTTGGGGTTGAATGTACTTGAGGAGTTGTACTTAAGCTTACTTGTGTGACATGCGATTGTACTTGAGGAGTTGTACTTGAGCTTACCTGTGCTTTACATGAGCATAGATTGAGACTTGCTTGTGGCTTTTTGACTTGTTTGTGTACTTAAGGACTTTTACTTGAGCCTGCCTGTTCTTTACCTGCCAGGAGTGATGTGCTTGAGTTTGTCTGTGTCTTGGTACCTGTGCCATTTGTGATTGTACATGTGATGTCACTCGAAAAAAAGCAGGTGCAGGTATAGGTTTAGGACGCTTTGCTTCTTGACAGCTGCTTTGTGGATCACAAGCAGGTGGTTCATATAGTACTAGTGTGGCAGCATGAGCCAGCAAAGTGCGTCTGATGAGGTTGAGAATGGTTTGGGGCCTTCTCAACATGGTGGTAGCCAGCAGGGAGAT